TCCATACTATAGTCCTTTCAGAGGAAAAGAGTGCCATCTTCCGCTCGTATGAGGATATTGATAATGCCCCTGAAGAAAAGAAGCGCGGAATAACTATTAATGCAGCCGTTGTGGATTATTCAACGCCAACTAGGCACTATGCTCACACTGATTGTCCGGGACATGCTGATTACATAAAAAACATGATAACTGGAGCAAATCAAATGGAATGTGCTATCCTAGTTGTTGCAGCCACGGATGGCACGATGCCACAAACTCGTGAACACTTGCTCCTAGCTAAACAAATTGGAATTGAAAGGCTCGTCGTTTTTCTGAACAAAGCTGATGCTGCAGACAGTGAAATGCTAGAACTTGTTGAGTTAGAGGTTAGGGATACACTCAAGCAATATGGTTATGATGAGGACACATCAGTAATCACAGGATCGGCTCTGGCTGCGTTGGAGGTAGGTCATTTGCTATGATACTTCTTGAATAAGTGATATGCTCCGGATAATTGTCTCTTTTTGAATTATGCAGAGCCGGGATGAAAAAATTGGCAAGGAAAAAATTCTTGAACTCCTTGATGTGATTGATGCCGTACCCTTGCCAAAAAGAGACAAAGATAAACCTCTATTTTTGCCTGTCGAACAAGTTTTTTCAATAACAGGTAGGGGGACCGTCGCTACTGGCCGTCTGGAGAGAGGCGTTGCTAAATTACATGACGCAGTAGAAATTCTTGGCTATGATCATTCCGTCAAGTCAATAATCTCGGGTTTGTATCCTTTGTTTATTTATTCCTTTTTAAATAATTTGGTTGCGGTAGTTGCCTCTAAACTCGGTTTATCTTAACGTTGGTTTCTGCTAAACATGTTTAACGCTATATCTTTTTACACTAGGCTGCCCTAGTTAGTTCTCTGGAATTCATCTTTTCAATGAAGATAATCTTATTTGTTTCCTTGATCTTCTTCCACTTCTCTTAGGGCTTCGGTTAATAAGCATTTAGAATTTTATTCGCTGATTGTTCATTCCATTTTACCGAACTACCCTCGTTTTAGTATCCAATGCTCAGAGTACATCTTTGAATAATCATTTTCGTTCTAAATTCATTAATTTTTTTGACATGAGTTCTATGCATAACCTTGCAATCTGTATACGCTTTATCGAAATTTGTCATGTTTCACAAGCTACTATCGTTTTGGCTGCTTGCTTCAATGCTTTTAGGAATTGAAATGTTCCATCAGATGATGGGCCATGCTGAGGCTGGTGATCAAGTAGGTCTTCTTCTTCGGGGATTAAAACGAGACGATATTAGACGTGGGATGATTGTTGGAGCAGCCAAATCCATAAGCATGCACAGTTTCTTTGATTCGCAAGTTAGTTGTAACTTAAGATTATTGTCATTTTGAATAATTTAATCTAATTTTGTATCTCTAATTCCAGGTATATATGTTATCCAAGAAAGAGGGAGGCCGGACAAAGCCCTTCACAAACGATTTTCAAGTTCAAGTTTTTAGCAAGTCTTGGGATTGTCCTGCTTATTTTATCCTTGCCGAGGGCAAAGAAATGTTGATGCCCGGTGAAGACACTTTGCTAAAAATGCATTTGCAAAAGAAAATGGTATGTTACTTTTTTAAGATGTTTTCGAAATCATACGTAATCTCCATCGTTTCTGATTTATGTGTATCTTACTGGCTAAGAATTTGGGGGATATATCTAATTCATTAATGTTATTGGGCTGTCTAGAAATAATAAAGCATGTACGGGTCTAGGAATGTTTTCATGCTAAATTAAAAAAGTTAACAATGGACATTTTAACCTCCGTTTCTAAATCATATTTAGCCAAATGTGTATTTGTAATTATTTAAAAGCTTAATTCCAAGAAAATTTTGCTTGGGTTTCATCTTATGCTGACACCATTACGAAATTTATCTCAGCGTTCTCTTATCGTCGTGCTATTTGCAGGCTTCTATCATAAATAAAATATTACAGTTTTTAGAGCAAACTTAGATTGACAGCAGCTAGAGTAGCTAATGTACATTCGCTTGATAATACTTAAATTATGACAATTACTTTTGTGACATTTTACTCAGCTTTCAAGTTGTGTGTATCGCATTTTTAGGACAAAGAATAATTTTAACTTATTTACGCAAAATGTATAGCTTCATATATTATTTTCGTATAACGACCTTGAT